CACACACACACACACACACACACACGACACACACACTCACAACATACACACATCCTACAGGTAAAACACACACACGCACACACACACGTTCGCACGCACGCACGCACGCACACACATATACACACACACACACAACATACATACACACACACACACAACATACACACATCTTACAGGTAAAACTCATCCACACACACACGCACACACGTACACACGCACATGCATGCACACACGCGCACGCACATGCCTGTACGCACACACACATGCATGCATGCACGCACGCACATGCGTACATGCATGCACGCACGCACGCACGTACATGCGTACTCGCACGCACATGCATGCACGCACACATGCATACACGCACACACACGCACACATGTACATGCACACCTACGCACACATGCACACGCACACACATGCACACACGCGCACACACACACAACACACACATACACACACACACACATACACACACACACACACGCACAAACACACACACGCCCACACACACTCACAACATACACACATCCTACAGGTAAAACCCACACACGCACACACACGCACACACATGCGCACGCACGCTCGCATGCAGGCAGGATGTTGTTAGCTTGCTTGCTTGCACTCGCACCCTGGCAGCTCGCTGTACGGTAGTCGCATGAATAGTGGCGCGCAACATCCTAGAACAACGACAAAGACAGACAAGCATTGATACAGACAGGTCAATAGGGCCGAAAATTGAAAAAAACAAAACAAAAAAAACATTCCAAAACAAAATCCGTCTCGTCGTTCGTGTCGACACCTTAACTTTTTCTCATAGACCAGACCTCTGTACGCTGTGTGTGAGAAACTCCTAACCTTACCGAGGCCGACCATTCGTTCTTGAGATGGAAGTTTGTAGCGTCGAAGTCTGGATTTCACAGCCCCTGGATAGGCCTGGAATGTCGGAAATAAAAATTAACATCTTAAACATTTCTAACAGTCTTAACATTAGTCATAACATATTTTTTCAAGTTGCAACTGTTTCTCAACGATCGCTGTAAGCTCACTAAGCTGCCACTCTGCAATTCTGGGCCCCGTTGTCAGAAACAAAGTTAGTCTCAGCATTAGTCTCAACGTTCTCAAATTTTCTTTTTCCCGTAGAACGGACCTCTCTATACACCGCGTATGAGAAACTCGTAACTTTACGATATTTCTGTCGCCGTTCTACGAGAAAAAGAGAATGTTAAAACCAATTCCGTTTCTGCCAACGGTCTACGAGAATTAAAGTTCTCGTTCAGACCAATTTTGTTTCCAACAACAGAGGGGTCCCTGGATGACATCACCATTCCTACGTGTACATCCTACATTATGGTGCGAAATTAACGCGAGTCCGGAGTTAAATACTCCCTGATTTATTGTCGGACTTCCTGATTTGACATCTGCACGAGTCCGTGTGACTGCCTGAAAATTCTGCCATACTAACTAGTTCGTTCCATAGCACGGCCTCGCGGAATTACCGTATTTTTTCAGAAAATCTTTAATTTTGAACTTCAGACTGCGGATTCCCTCTTTTTGAGGGCAGGGAGTCCTCCGTTGGACTCCCTTGTTGGAAAGTTTATTTCTACCCCTGGGTTCCCGTTCCTGCAGGGAGCGTACGCTGCTGGCGCTGGTTCGAGCTTAATGCAACCCCTTCCCCATCCCAGTGTTGTAGAGAAGTCCGTCGCCCATTCTTTAGAAAGCATCACACATCAGGGGTAGAAACTAACTTTTCTGCCCTCAAAAAGAGGGAGTCCGCGGCAAAATGAGGGAGTCCGCAGTCTGAAGTTCAAAACTAAAGATATTAACAATAACGCATGTTCTTATTTTGGAGATTCATGCGGTTGCACGCCTGCCAAATTTTCTTTGGACATTTTTGCTGGAAAAATACGGTAAAATCCCGCAAGGCCATGCTCTGGAACGAACTAGTTAGTATGGCAGAATTTTCAGGGAGTCACACGGACTCCTGCATATATGTCAAATCAGGGAGTCCGGCAATCAGTGTATACCTCTTACTTATAGAAACTAGTAACTGTCCTTTATAGACAGGTGTCCGTTCCATAGAGGTCTCAGTGTATACCTCTTACTTATAGAAACTAGTAACTGTCCTTTATAGACAGGTGTCCGTTCTATAGAGGTGGCCGCTAACGGCGGGTTCGACTCTGTACACGTTTGTCGTTATTCTGCTCTTGCATCGTGCTTGTATTTTATTGCCGTTTCTCCCAGTTCGCCAAAGTTCAACCCCCGATGGCCTAGATGCCGTGACGTAGGCGCGATGACGTCACTATTATGACGTAGACGCGATGACGTAATGTGCCATGACGCGGACGCGATGACGTGTGCTCCGCGTTCTTTGATGTAGTTCTATTGGTCGACGCCACGCCCCACTCTCTTTGTTTCTCTTTGTCGGGCATTGCTTATTATAAATGCCCTCGTTTTTTGTGTTTTGAGTTGCGTGTTGCTATGTGCGGTGAGAGAGAGAGATAAAGATGGAGAGGCAGGCGGGAAGATGATGATGATGATGATGATGCTGTTATGTATAAAGTCGATGTAAAAAATTTCACCGGCACATGTATTATGTCGCGTTTTTTCCACGCATCTCGTTTCTGCGTTTTACTAACTTCTCACTTTGTGAAAAAAAATATGTCAGTATTTTACGGATTGTGTTTTTGTGTTTTTGTTTTGGTTGTGATTCGGTTCTCTGTCGAAAGATGCATACGACACACGATAGGGTATGGCGTTTCTTCTTT